TATGAATGGGCAATGCAATGAATGAATGGGCAGTCAGTGATAGATGGCAGCTCTTCGACTTACGGGTCCCTACGTCACGGAACTTTTCGACGCTTGCTGTAGTTGTTCCTCCTCGCTCAGTAGCGGCTGTGGGAAGGGTTACTATCCGCTGGTACATCGAATGGCCACAGAAATTACTGCTTGGATAGTATCATGTCAGAAAAGTCCACCTGAAAGAAGGCGTGGAGCACCCCAACGAGGGCTTGATTAATGCCAGATGCTTCAATGTTTCAAGACAAGGAAGAAGCCAGAAAAAACAAACAAGTGGTTGTTAGGGCTACACTTTAGTCTAGTAGGAAGAAAGGGATGGGCAATGAAGGAGGGCATGGGGTGAACAATGATGGAGGGCTTGCTGAGGCAATATAGGGGAGCCGTATTCGAGCAAGATGGTTGGTGAGAGGATAGCCAGAATCGTGATTCGGCGTCACCTGTAGTCCATCGGGGCTCGGAGCGACATAACATATCTAGGGTTACGGCGGAGCAATGAAACCTTTTTGTCTTCTCGTGGACTGAGATCCAGTTGTGCGTAACAGCTGGGGGGGGGGATCGTACCAAAGGTAAAGCCAGGGGAGGGGTCCGTCATATAAGTTACAGCATAAGCTGATCCTCCAGTGCAAAGAATCCTTCTACTTCCTGTGTTCCATTAAAGTTTTGACTCTTGTAATAACGCAATCTTTTTTTCAGTGTATAGTTATTTAATATATCGATGTACACGGCACGTCCTAAGTTTGAAAGTCTCCAGTGTGAGGGGGTTGAGGGGGTCGCTGGGTGGAGGAAAGTCGTATTTTGTCCGAGAAAATTCTCTTTGATAATTGGCGTTCACATCGTGGAGAAGTCCAACGGTAGAGGGGCAGGATCGGGTTTGCTAGTCACTGTGCCGCGTTGCGAAAATTTTTTCGGCTTTTTGAATTTTTCGCCCCCCCCCGAAGGTTTTCGCAGTTTCGGACTGGTGCTGGAAGACCCTCGCCCCCCCGGCCGCTGGACAGTAAACTTTCGAGTAAAACAGTAAAGTTTTCATGAAATTGGAATGTGGTGGGAAAGTCTGACAGTATAATAAGGAGGTTGGGGATGGGTAGGGGATCGTATCTTCCGAAAATTTCCCGAGCAGCAAGGAACGTCGCCCTGCCGATTTTAGTTTTTGATGGTCATAAGGCGACAAGGTGGCAGTTTTTCTAAGAATTGATCATCGCGGTAGTAGTGCAGAAGAAGACTGAGGAACCAAAAACTGAAGGGAAATTCTTCGCTGGTCGTAGGGTCAGAGCAGGGCCTATCAGTGGTCTGAACTTTCATTACTAATGCTCGTCTCCTCTTCATCGCATCAGAAAAGAGGGACGTACTGGTGAAGAAGTGAAACAGTAGGCGTGACACTGCCCACACGACCAGCGTGGAATTTACGAAGTCAGTTCGATCAATATATCGATCGAACGGTTGTTTGTGTCAAGTTATACGGTAGTTGCGAATGCCGTAGTGTAATACGATTGGGCGACGAACGATTCGTTCAGAGCGAAGCTTCGCTGAATCGGTGAGTAACACTGCTCATAAGAAAAGTGATGTGAACAGCAAAGAATACGTGACCATCTATCCAGTCTATAATGCCAAATACAGGTACGATTTCTGCTGTATTATTGGTACCGTAAGTCTATTATAATCCGGAATCTATTCAGATACTGGCAGGCTACCTATCCACATCTGCTATGTACTACTCGACAGAAAGGCCGACAATCCACTCATAACTCATTCCAGGTTGATTTCTGGTGAAAAAAAGCGCAGGAGCAATTTTGAATCGATTTGTTTCAGGATCTGTCCCCATCCAATACACAAAGCGACAAGTCCAACGGGAAAGAGGCCAATTTTCTATTTTCACATTAAAGCGACGATGTTCAGGTAATCTCAACGCTACGCTCTTTCTAGATAGTAATACTCTACCCAGAGTAGAGATTCTACTAGAGTGATTTAATGCTAAGAGTTTGCACATCGCATGAAACACGTCGTTATGAGGATCGGAGTGGCTCACAAGCCCTTCCTCGCAACCAGAGTGGTTGGTAATGTTGCCCATATAAAAATGTGGCACAAAACAGTTAATAGAGCTCAAGAAGAAAAAGCCTTTCGAAGTACCCTAGACAGAACTCGATTCGAACTTGCACCAGCCCCAGCATGCATTGAAGAGAGGCGTGCTCGAACGAGTTCTCACTCTTGTTGTTATCAGAAAGATATCAGCTCTTTACCCTATGATCTCAGCTCTTCTACTTGGACTGGAAAGAGGTAGTAGCGGAGCGATCACACCATTGAAGATTCTTCTAAAATGAACGTTGGGTGCGGCCTGAAGCAGTGGACTGGGCACTGCCTTGCGTTGCGCAGCGATGACGTCGTCATCAGCGTATTTTGAGCCGTCAAAATGTGACACACATGCTCTGTGCTTGCTTTCCAGGTCTAAATGTCGCACGAACAGTACAGCAAAGGGTAAGCCCTGTGCCGTTGGGGAAAATTTCTGCAGAATAGCGACTCGCCGACTTTTCCGCGCTATTAGACTGCCCGAACGTAACCCTCGTCATCCGGGCAGTTGATTAGGGCGGTCGTCAACGGGCCGCAGCGCGTGCCAGGAACTATTTGCTTTTCCAGGCTAATTTAGTCATTTTTTCCACCTTGTGAAGATAAGGAAGCTGCTAATCTGGGAAAAAGTAGCCAAAACAGTGAAAAGTTGGAAAAAATGACTAAATTAGCCTGGAAAAAGCAAATAGTTCCTGGCACGCGCTGCGGCCCGTTGACGACCGCCCTAATTTCAACGTGGCCGGGTATAGACGAGGGGGTATCTGCCTCTGAGAGCTCTCTCGAAGGTTTTTTCTTCTTGGTACGACCTGGCGTGAGTAGTTCACTCTAGCACACGTTAAAACGGGAGAGACGGGAAAAAAACACCCAATTTTTTTTCTCGGCACGTGCAAATGTTGGCTTCCTTACCTTCAGCGAGCAAATACGAACCCCTTGCTGGAAATCCCCAGCTTGGCGCCTGTCCTGTCTGCACACCAGATGAAGCGGGACATGGCTCCAAAGACGAGCAGGGCCGCTTACTGAGCGCAAGGTTTGGGGATCATATCCTTTCCAAATAACTGGACTTCCATCCCTCCGGAATCGGTTATGGCACGAGATTCGTCTGGGAGGATCCAACCAACCACTCGGGCATCGCTTGCTCTCGCCAGCCACTGTATGGTTCAAATCGCATTGAAAGCGTCATTCCATTGTGGATGGAGGTTGAATGCGTGGCGTATTATAAGAAGGCCTCAACGAATCAGCTGGGATCTCTTTATAGGTCCCAGCTGATTTGTTGAGGCTATCAGTATCCATGACATTCATATCCTCCCTGAAGCGCGCAGCTCAGCCTTCACGGCTACTGGTGGTTCCACCGAACTTTAAGTACTTTGCTACTGTGCAAGACGATATTATAAGGAAGAATTGAGTGCGGTGATTTCAGTCCTTCTGGAAGTTTCGCTACTGCTCACAACTTATCGCTTCCATTTACCATCGCTACCCGCAGGAATCAGGTGAGCTATAGCTTTTGGGCTCGAGAACCCGTGGTCGTCGTGTGGGCTCCGTTTGGGGATCGAACCACAACTTCCATTTAGGACTGTCAAGTGCAGCGAATGATGTCATCCTATACGGCCACAATCTTCTGGTTGTATGGTTGCAATCACCAGGAAGGACTGCTTTTGCAATGGGTCGACACAGGTAAGCTCTTTTCATAGCGCTTTCTTGTTTTTTTTTTTGGAATCGTAAAGTTCAGGAATGCACTGGGAGCAGTTCAAGCATCTGTACAAGCAGCATTTCAAGGTGAACGCCGGTGTACAGAGAGGTTTGATTGACGGCGATTTCGAGCTGCTCAAGTACAAGCTCCAATGTCCGGACTGTCAGTGCACTGAGGACGGCGCCACCGTGAACGGAGTTCAGCGTAAGTGAAGGAATAATTTTTTTCAGACAGTGGGTCTTCAAATTTATTTTCAGAAATCGTCACGTTCAAAAACGTGCTTTGTCCTCATTTGCGATACGAGTGTGGAAGCACGAATGTTCGATTTTCGGTATGTTACTTAGAAAGACCCGCATAGATGTGTATATGTCGGGAGATCCGCGTTGCAGCAACGCTGTGAAAGCGGTGAGGCAAGCGACGTCACGTGCGCGCATTCGCATCAGGATCTAAATGATTTGAGGGGGACACAGAATAGATAAGAAGTATTGCTTACTTTGTGCTCCTTGCCGCAGCGCAGGTCTCTTGATCTTTACTCCCTAAGCTGACCAGAAAATGTTGTAGGAAGGTAGGAATATGTGAGAATTTAGAAAGGTGGTAAGTATTATGGGACAGCAGTCCTCATCCCGCAAACGGCTGGAGTCTGAATTTTAGTCTTTCAAGGAAACCATATCTCATGGATCTTTCAAAAGCGTTGGCTCCGCTAAGCGTTCCGAATTTTTTTTCAGGTGTGGCGAGGAATGCTTGAGCTGCTGCAGATCTTCCATGACACTCGGAACAATGTGCGAAAACTATGGGAAATGGGTTTACTGCTTGGATTCCTTGAATTTGACGAAGTGAGTCCGCCTTCCTTCTCACAGCCTCAGCTTTAGTCTCTACTTTTTCCATTTTAGGGTGACAAACTTCTGGAACAACACAAATCGGCCTTAATAATGCGACTTTCATTTGTGACTGGAGGTAACGCTACAGTATCTTCTGGATGCCGCCCAAATATGCAATGTGGAAATGTTCAGGAACAATTTGTTTCACCGTCAAATCAACGGCGCATACGTTGGATCACCGAGCAACTCGTCCGATTCACCTCGAGCCGCTCGATTTGAAGAAGTTGCAAACGAAATGCCTAAAAGACTATTTGAGGGACATTGCTGATGCTGAAAAGGTAGGTCGAAATTTAAGACGCCGCTCATTCTGACAGTCAGCCTGAAGCAATTTGTTCAGGTGAAATACATATTGAATGCATCGCATCAAGTAGTTCGAATCACCGAGGTACTAGCGCAATTGGGTGAAGGGGAAGTAGGCAGTGGAGCGGAAGGAAGTCGTGACATCTCCAGCAACGTCACCCATAGCGGGGACATTGCCGCTATGCAGCATATAAGGTGCTGGATGCTTTCAGAGTCTCTCCACGGTTCTGCATAGAGAAATCGTTTTTTTTAGGTTTACGGCAATGCGAATCGCTGTGGTCACATGCAAAGTGAAGCCACCGTCGGCAGACCAGCTCGAAGTGGACGTAGAGAGGTAAGCGTCGGAAAAACTTGGTTGAAACATTGGGAGAAAGCAGAGCTTCGTTACGCGTTTCGTTCAGCAAAGCTCCTTATGAAGTTTTCCGGAGACAAGACCCATTTAAAGAACCAAAACATTGAAACATTACCCTCTTTTTCTCCCTGCCAAGCGGTCTGCTGCTCCGCGTGCTCCTGATGACGGTTGCCTTTTTCCTGTGAGAGGTTTTGGAATGAGTTATGTTCAATCTGATGGAGTTCCCCTCCTTCTTTAGGGTCGGTTCCTGTGATCGTTTATCCAGACTTCAAAGCTCAGGGCTTTGCTGAGGTCATCGCGTGACCTTGGTTAGCACGTATCGCGTGACCTTGTTAGCACGTGCCCATATGTAGTTTTTTCGCTGTAGATGCTGGGACGTGTCAGGAGCTGAGCTCAGTGGGCTACGTTAGCCCGCTTTCCACCGATTGTTGTCGCTTACCCGCTCCCAGTTGGTGGAGAACGGGCTGGCGAAGCGCCATGCCCAGCCCCCTCTCACACCCCAACGTCTTCAGCGGAGACGACTGTAGATTTGAGGGGGAGAGGGGGAGGGCCTAGGTGAGATTCGAGCCAGAATACGATTTTAGGCCCATATATAACTTAGGGGTGCCGCTTGTCACTGCCGCATGGTCGTCCATCTGTCGCATTATAGTTAGTGAAAAGGTGGGAGGAGAGAGGGTGTGTGGGCAAAAGGTGGAAAATAGTGAAAAGGTGGGAGGAAGGCATTAATTGTGTCGATATGCCTCAAAGTGGCCTTCCGTTTGAAATGTATAAGACCTGCAATTTCCTGCTGAGGTAGACGCTTTATTGATTGTTCAGCGCTAAAAACCTAAAAATTGGCCAGGACTGTCAAGCTTGATCGGCTCTTGAGGGATAGGATTCACGGGTCCGGGAATGCACCTTTGATGTTTAACCTTTTGTCCCTACGACACCTTCGCTTAACTGTGCACAATGAACCAGTTGATGTTCAATTTCCACTACATCATCGTCAGCTATAGTGGGTAATTTAGCAGTTCTCGTCGTGTGCCATCCGTTCCTCCACCACATGATGACTTCTTGCGTGAACTCGTTCAACTGGCTGCTTTCCATGGCAAAACGAGACAGGTTATTTTTCGTTTTCTCTCACCGTTTCCACTATCTGTAACTCTTCAATTCAGGAAGTCCTGGATGTCGTCGATTCGTTGAGCG